TGAGCAAAGTAACATTTATGAAGGGATTCAGGGAAACCGGCAGGCCAGACTTGAGTCCTGGAGATGGGAAGTACAGTGCCTGCACTCTGAAGGAGGGGTGTTAATGTTGCAGTTTAAAAACTGTAGTGTAAAGCACCCTTCTGGCAAGACAGTGATGGAGTGAATGATGGTGAAAGTTTTTCTTTTTCGGGCCACCCTGCCTTGGTGGGAATCGGCCAGTGTGATAATAAAAATAAATAAATATATATATACATATATATATATATATATACATATATATATATATATATATATATATATATATATATATATATATATATATATATATATATATATATATAGGACCCCACTTTATGGCGTTCCACTTTACGACATTCCTCTAATACAGACATTTCAAATTATGACCAAAACTCATTTTACGGCTCTCCCACCTGACTTTCTAATATGGTCACCGAGCTCCACCCAGTTTGTTTGCATTCTCCATGAGCTCCGCCTGGTGGCTAAAGCTCTCGCTTCACACATGGAATGCCCAGGTTCGATTTCCGGCTGGGTGGAAAACATTTCGACGTATTACCTTACACCTGTTGTCATGTTCATCTAGCAGCAAATAGATACCTGTGTGTTAGTTGACTGGTGTGGGTCGCATCCTGGGGGACAAGAATGAGGACCCAATGGATATAAGACAGAGAGACCTCAATGACACACTGACTTTCTTGGGTTATCCTTGGTGGCTAACCCTCCCGGGTTAAAAGTCCAAAGAAAATCTTATCTTATCTTATGTGGAAATTTGTCTGGACTACCTCCATGTGAGTTGTGTACCCTAGCAAGCTCTGTTGACACTGAGCTTTGAGGTTGGCGCCTCAGCCTCAAAAGTGGCTTATAGGACACATTTCCATAAATGACTGATGTTACAAGAATTCCAACCTTCATGCATGAGTAGAGGACTAACTTACTTGGTATTGGAGGATATATCACCCGGTCTTCAACCTCCCTAAGCCTTTGCCCTTCTGGACACTCCCCTACAAGTCACCACGTGCTGTCAGGTACTTAATTCCTGCAATTTTCAGTCGGTATTAGTGACCTGTCTGCACCTCAGAAATTCATGATTTCAAGGGGGTGAGTATCCCCTAGTATAACTATGGAGGAAGTGGCACTGGCTTCTAAGCTTTAGCTAAAAAGGGGACGCCGGTACGTACGTGCTTTATGCAGTCGGGCGTCCGACTGCATAAAGACCCACAGGTTAACTCACTCGCAATTTCTCCCAGAAACTGGCCAGAATACTGAGAAAGAAAGGAAGGTCTTGTCTTACTATAATGGGCCTGACGGAGGAGGGCATCTACGGTGCTTTGAGGTGCCTCCACCAGATTTCCCCAGGTCTAGAATGTGTAGACATGTGCTGTTCACAGCACTTGTTACTCCGATGGTGTCTGATCTTAGAAGGAGGCACTAGAGTCCCGTGCCTCGCCATTCAAACTTGGGCTGCCAGTTCTCCCTAGCTAATATAACCTAGTGTTTGCCTATATTACAGACCTATTCCTACCTACATTAAGGTCTTCGGTCTACATTATTAATATCTACAGTTGCTTCAATAATCCTAGCATTAGTTTACTAACAGTATTAACTACCTACATTTTCCTTGAAGAGTAAATCTATCAATTAAAATGTACCTTCTAACCACCTTCGCCAACCCAGGTGTATGTATGTGTTTTGGGTAGATGTGAGTTCCCAGCTCTTACTTCATATTAAATATGCTCTGATAATTATAGTACCGCTAGTACTCCAAACGTAGATCAACGTTTTATTTTTCCTGCCTCCAAATTTAGCACGATTGCCTTGACATGCCTGGTCATTATAGAATGAGTCTTAACACTCGTGTACACATTATTAAAAAAATCTAAGACCATTTAGTACCTTGTGGGAGCACCAGTTCAATTGAGTGCCAGCTACAGCAAATAGCGTGGCAAACACCAGGGATTCACTGATGTCATGTTGTATTAACACTCCGTGGTAAAGGGTTAATCCTGTACCGCGCTTGTATAAAAAAATGAGGCAAAAAAAGCATGGTTTTCATGGCGCCATGAACACAAAGCATGTTCTCAAAGAGAATTCTCATCTCAATCCAACCAATCAGAAACCTTCTGGGCAGAGCTTGAATGTGGCATCTCTTGGGTGTTGTCGAGCTCCCAGCTCCAGCAGTCTTCAATACTCTCTGTGTTGATGGGGCAGCATTTCCAATCTCATTCTCTGGATATATCACCAATTTACACCACTCCAGAATGGCAGTAAGCTGCTGAATGTTTCCACTGAATTATTTTGAATGTTTGGACCTCATTTTGAGATGCAAATGAATTGTCTGAGGCATTGAGAAGTAACAAATGAATGCACTTGAAGTTTTGTTTACCTTTTCTGTATCAATTATGAGTTGTGGCCCAACAATTATAGAACATCACATGCCACTGAGTGGTACTTATGAGAGGTGAAAACCGACATTGGTGATAAGAAATGCGCCAATGAAGGTATCATATATCATGGATTATCAGATAACAATTAGACCATCTTTGTCACTGATAGCTAACAATTGCATGCTGAATCAAATACGATGTACGAGTGCTTTTACCTTCTAAATTTATAAAATTTGCTCAATTGGAATGCTCATTTTCTGTTCATTTCAGTTAAACACAAATGTGTTTTGTGGATCAAAGGCTCAAAGAAAAAGTGATTACATCGTGCCAGAGTTATATGATGACAGTGACAATAATGAGGCAGGTAGGCAAGTTACTGGAAAATGAAGACATATACTAAAACAAGTATTTGAAGATGAAGTTAATGAAAGAATTGTCAACAACAAAAGGTGGATGTTGACTGTCCTTCAGTCATAAAGAATTATAATGCCCATTTGGGAGGCATAGATAAGAATGATATCTTGGTGCATTTCTACAAGTTTCAACTCAAAGCAAAATGCTGGTACATGAGGCTCTTTGGATATGTCCTTGATCTTTGTTGTGTCAATGGCTGATTGTTGTACAGGCGTGACTGTGATGCTTTGAAAGAGAAATACATGAACCTCAAGGAATTCAGGTTTTCTATCTCCCATTCTGCAAGAAGACCAACCAAGGTGAATATTAAAATGGTATAAAATACCGACAGGTTGTTTGGTAAGACACATATGCAACAGTTAGGTATCTTTATTTCGAAACGTTTCGCCTACACAGTAGGCTTCTTCAGTCGAGTACAGAAAATTTGATAGAAGCAGAAGAGACTTGAAGACGATGTAATCAGTCCATCACCCTTGAAGTTTTGAGGTGGTCAGTCCCTCAGTCTCGAGAAGAGTATTGTTCCATATTGTTTCAGACTATGGAACAATACTCTTCTCCAGACTGAGGGACTGACCACCTCAAAACTTCAAGGGTGATGGACTGATTACATCGTCTTCAAGTCTCTTCTGATTCTATCAACTTTTCTGTACTCGACTGAAGAAGCCTACTGTGTAGACGAAACGTTTCGAAATAAAGATACCTAACCGTTGCATATGTGTCTTACCAAACAACCAACCAAGGTAATCCCAAGGAGCCTGAGATCGTCTCTGAGATCACTGGCCAGTTCCCACAAAGAGGCTTCCATGTAAACATTGCAACACCTCCTAATCTCCAAACTATGGATTCTCTGCATTATATTCACACCACACATTGACCTCAGACATGACATCTCCACTGCCTCCAGCCTTCTCATTGTTGCAACATTCACCACCCATGCCTCACACCCATACAAGAGCATTGGTATAACTACTCTCACACATTCCCCTCTTTGCTTTCATGGATAAAGTTCACTGTCTCCACAGACTCCTCAGTGCACCACTCACCTTTTTCCCCTCGTTAATTCTTTGATTCACCTCATATTTCAAAGACCCATCTGCTGACACATCCACTCCCAAATATCTGAATACTTTCACCTCCTCCATTCTCTCTCTCTCTCTCCAAGCTGATATCCAATCTTCCGTTTCCTAATTATTTTGTTATCCTCATCGCCTTACTCTTTCCTATATTCACTTTTAATTTCCTTCTTTTACATACCCTATTAAATTCATCAACCAACCTCTGCAACTTCTCTTCAGAATCTCCCAAAAGCACAGTATCATCAGCAAAGAGCAACTGTGACAACTCCCACTTTGTGTTAGATTCTTTATCTTTTAACCTCAAGCCTCATGCCAACACTCGAGCATTCACTTCTCTTACAACTCCATCTATTAATATATTGAATAACCATGGTGACATCACACATCCCTATCTAAGGCCTACTTTTACTGGGAAATAATCTCCCTCTCGCCTACATACTCTAACCTGAGCCACACTTTCCTCGTAAAAACTCCCTATTCATCCTATCATATGCATCTTAACTATATACATGAGATCTGTTATTCCATACTTAATTTAGAGGGATATCAGTTCTTTAGGCTTCATACCTATCCTGGTAAGTGACACCTTAATTGATTTTCCAAAATCTTAGTTTGGCCTCTTTCTAGTAACATAATATATATTTCTGTAGGTACAGTCCCCATGTTTAGTATAATAGTACAACCTACTTGTTGCCAACATGTGTCAGATGCATGGCCAACCCAACACTAAAGTAGATAAGTGGCTCTTGGTATATTTTTCCTTTCATAATGTAATATTTAAATTTATATGATTTATTACAGAAATGGTGAAGAATGGTATAAGCTAAGGCATGCTGTGCAACAAATGATGCTGCGTCCTCGAGAAGTTAGTTACTACTATCCTCTTCAGGATAGTGTGGCCAGACGTGCTGTAGACAAAGTAACACTTAGTACAGATGATCATGGGTACATTTCTGAATTACACTTCCTCGTTGGTAAATGGATCCTTGAATGTAAGTATTGTATTTATTTAGCAAGAGTTGGAGGTGATCTTATTCAGTCTCTTGTACTAATCTGTTCATTATCCTCATCTCTTTCTAAAATGTTAACATTCCTTACATATCAATTTTTGCCTTTTACCAATTAGACTTAAGCAACACAATTTTTTTACAATGTACCCTCTAATTAATGAACTAATATGGGTAATACACACTCATTTTGACCTACATTAGCATCTGACCCTTATTTTAATCCATATACTCCTTGAATTTATACATTTATATTCCCTCTTTTTCTGCCATAACTGATCCTTCAACATTATTGCTACCCCTTCCTTAGCTCTAACTCTCTCAGATACTCCTAACTTAATCCCATTTATTTCTCCCATTGAAACTTCCCTACCCCCATCAGCTTTGTTTCGCTTAGAGCTAGGACGTCCAACTTCTGTTCATTCGTAATACTGGCAATCATCTCCTTATCTGCATTGCAGTGCTAGTCAAGACATTAAGCACCCTGGCATAATGCCATGAGGAAAATCAAAGGTCTACCATACAGGGGGGTCTTTTTTCGTCAGTGCATTATGTCGGGTAGCAGCTGTTAACATGTCATGGCCTGATGCCACACTCCACAGTGACTCCTCAGTGCTCACGTGGCTTGTGTAGTGAGAGGAAGTCTTGCATTTTTGTCTCTCATTTACCCCATCTATTGTCCAGTGTTCAATTTGGTTTTGGGGCTATACATGTATGATTATATGGATAAAAGGAAGTCTTTAACACCTTTAACACAATCATAGGGCTTCACAAAGCTGGCACCAGACAAAAGAATATTGGTGTGTGTGAGCATTCATTGAGGAACTGGGTGCAGCGTTTCAAGGCTGGTGGCGATGTCGAGTGTCGAGATACCGTCTGCCAAACCTCGGCCTGGCCCTTCAAAGAAGACATGTGTTCATACTTTAACTGTGTTAAAGAAGCAGTTAGAGAGTACACCTTAGATAACTGCTAGAGAATTGAAAGAAAAGAACCCACATCTTCTCTCAGAGGTGTCTGTAAGAACTGTTAAAAAATGTGTGTCAGAACTGGGCTACAGTAGTCACTGCCAGACTAAGAAACCGATCCTTTCCAAGTCACAAAAGAAACGTAGACTGTATTATGCAAAGAAATATCTTCACTGGAGTCCTTAACAGTGGTCTGCAGTAATTTGGAGTGATGAAGCAACCTTCACCGTCACTCGTAACTGCGAGGGACGTGTGTACCGGCCCAGAGGTAGTGACCCGCTAGACCCATGATCCCTGTGGGACCACCAAACACCCAGAGTATTGGTGAACTCATTGTGTTTCCAAAAAACGAGTATATGAACCAGTATAATTATCTAGAGTTATTGTCTGACAATTTATCTGAGGCGTTTGAAAAGTGTGGGGCTACGGTTTTTTATGCAGGACGGTGCACCGTGCCATACTGCCAAATCTGTAGTTCAGTGGCTTACAGACTGTGAAGTGAGGTTCTTTAATGGCCAGGCAATTCCCCAGACCCAAACCGTATTGAGAACGTCTGGTCAATAGTGAAATGAAGTTTACTGGGTAATGATATCGGTTTCATCCTGTGGCTGGAGGCTGCTCTACCTTGCCGACCTCTCAGGAATTTGTGTGTGTCTTTCTACACGGCTGAGGGACATGATTAAGCGTAAAGGACGCAACACCAAGTATTAATACCTCAGTAAGTGTGCAAATATATGTATTATAATCTTTCATGAAAAGATGAGGTGGTAGGGGAAGTGGAATATTCAAACAGCTTCAGGAAGAAATCCAAATATTCTTCCTCGAAGCTTTTTATTAAATTTCATGGATAAAAAGGCCGTATCCCATCAAAGCAGGGTGGTCCAAAAGGAAAAACGAAAGTTTTTCTTTTTAATTTTAGTAAGTTATACAGAAGGGATTACTAGCCCCTTGTTCCCAGCATTTTAGTTGCCTCTTACGACATGCATGGCTTACGGAGGAAGAATTCTGTTCCACTTTCCCATGGAGAGGAAAGGGAAACAAGAACTATTTAGAAAAATAGAAGAAAATTCAGTTCGATCTGTGTACATATACGTGTACATGTATATGTAATGTGTCTTAAGTAGATATTGCAAGATATACGTGTTTTTTGTGTTTATGAGACAAATAAAAAGACACCAGCAATTTTACTATTGTGTAAATAACTACAGATTTCCGTTTCACATGCATTTGGTAGGACGATAGCACCTCCCTGGGTGGTTGCTGTCTACCAGCCTAAAACCTGCATATTATTATTATTATTATTATTATTATTATTATTATTATTATTATTATTAGTCTTAAGTCTGCCTGAAATGCTTTGCAAATTAATGGGCCTTACCATGTAACAAAAACGGTAAACTTTCCTCTGTAACCGTAATGTATTTTCTTCTTTCAACAAACAGGCCATATCCCTCTGAAGCAGGGTGGCCTGAAAAGAAAAATGAAAATCTATCTTTTCAACTTTAGCAATATATACAGGAGAAGGGGTTATTAGCCCCTTGCTCTCTGCATGTTAACATAAGAACATAAGAACATAAGAAAGGAGGAACACTGCAGCAGGCCTGTTGGCCCATACTAGGCAGGTCCTTTACAATTCATCCCACTAACAAACATTTGACCAACCCAACTTTCAATGCCACCCAAGAAACAAGCTCCGATGTGCAAGTCCCACTCAAATCCAACCCCTCCCACTCATGTACTTATCCAACCTAAATTTGAAACTACCCAAAGTCCTAGCCTCAATAACCCAACTAGGTAGACTGTTCCACTCATCAACTACCCTATTTTCAAACCAATACTTTCCTATGTCCTTTCTAAATCTAAACTTATCTAATTTAAATCCATTACTGCGGGTTCTCTCTTGGAGAGATATCCTCAAGACCTTGTTAATATCCCCTTTATTAATACCTATCTTCCACTTATACACTTCGATCAGGTCTCCCTTCATTCTTCGTCTAACAAGTGAATGTAACTTAAGAGTCTTCAATCTTTCTTCATAAGGAAGATTTCTAATGCTATGTATTAATTAGTCATCCTACGCTGAATGTTTTCTAACGAATTTATGTCCATTCTGTAATATGGAGACCAGAATTGAGCTGCATAATCTAGGTGAGGCCTTACTAATGATGTATAAAGCTGCAGTATGACCTCTGGACTTCTGTTGCTTACACTTCTTGATATAAATCCCAGTAATCTATTTGCCTTATTACGTACGCTTAGGCATTGCTGTCTTGGTTTAAGGTTGCTGCTTACCATAACCCCCAAGTCCTTTTCGCAATCTGTATGGCTAAGTTCTACATTATTTAACTTATAAGTGCTAAGGTTATGGACACTCCCGAGCTTCAGAACCTTGCATTTATCTACATTGAACTGCATCTGCCACTTTTCTGACCATGAGTAGAGTTTGTCTAAATCCTCCTGAAGTTCCCTAGCATCTACGTTTGAATCAATTATCCTACCTATCTTCGTGACATCGGCGAATTTGCTCATATCACTAGTAATTCCTTCATCAAGATCATTGATATATATTATAAACAACAACGGGCCCAAGACTGATCCCTGTGGAACGCCACTTGTTACTGGTCCCCACTCGGATTTAACCCCATTTATGGACACTCTCTGCTTCCTGTCTGTGAGCCATGATTCGATCCACGAGAGCACTCTTCCCCCAATGCCATGAGCTGCTACTTTCTTCAACAGTCTTTGGTGCGGAACTCTATCAAATGCCTTACTAAAATCTAAATAAATAATATCAAATTCTTTATCGTGGGCAACAGCCTCAAAAGCTTTACTGAAGAAAGTTAATAAATTAGTTAGACAAGACCGGCCTCTTGTGAATCCATGCTGAGTATCATTAATCAAGCTATGCTTATCGAGATGGCTTCTTATAATTTGAGCTATAATTGACTCTAGTAATTTGCCTACAATTGAGGTCAGGCTTATTGGGCGGGAATTTGACGGTAACGACTTGTCCCTGTTTTAAAAATAGGAATTACATTAGCCATCTTCCACATATCAGACACTACACCTGTTTGAAGAGATAAATTAAAAATATTAGTTAATGGTTCACAGACTTCCATTTTGCATTCCTTTAGAACCCTTGAAAAAACCTCATCAGGACCCGGTGACTTATTTTGCTTCAGTCGGTCTATCTGCTTCACAACCATTCACTAGTGACTGTGATGTACATAATTTATCTTCTTCTGGCCCACTATAAAAATTAATTACCGGAATATTATTAGTGTCTTCATGTGTAAAAACCGAGAGAAAATAATATTTAAAATCGAGCACATTTCATTCTCTTTGTCAGTAAGATGCCCATAGTTATTTTTAAGGGGACCTATCTTATCCCTGACTTTTGTTCTATATAACCTGGAAAAAACTTTTTGGGTTAGTTTTAGAATCCCTAGCAACTTTAATTTCATAGTCCCTTTTAGCTTTTCTTATCCCCTTTTTAATGTCCCTCTTAATGTCAATATACTGATTCATAAGATGACCCTCGCCTCTTTTGATACGCCTATAAATTCCTTTCTTATGCCCTAGTAGATATTTCAGCCTATTATTCATCCATTTTGGGTCATTTCGATTTGATCTAATTTCTTTATAAGGGATAAATGTTCTTTGAGCAGCATGTATGTGTTCAGAAAACTGTCATATTGATAGCTCTCTTCGTTACCCAGTCAACAGATGATAATGTTCTCTAAGCCCATCGTAATCTGCTAAGCGAAAATCTGGGACTGTTACTGAGTTATCCCTACTATCATACTTCCATTCAATTCTAAATATAATTGATTTGTGGTCGCTAGCACCCAGTTCCTCTGAAACTTCTAAATTATTAACAAGGGATTCATTGTTTGCCAGAACTAAGTCAAGCAGGTTATTACCCCTTGTAGGTTCCTGTCACAAACTGCTTCAAAAAACAATCCTGAACTACTTCTAAGAAGTCGTTTGATTCTAAATCCCAGTCAAGAAATTCCAATCAATATGCTAAAGTTAAAGTCTCCTAGAATTACTACATATACGTGCCTTGTGGCCCTAACAATTTCCTCCCATAGTAATCTTCCCCTGGTCCCTATCTAAATTTGGGGACGGTATATCACACCTGAAGTTAATTTTTCATGCCCCTCTGAAAATTCTATCCAGACTCTGTATGTGTTACTTCAGACTTAATACCCGTTTAATGCAACAGTTCAAGCGATCTCGGACATACAATGCCACCCCCACCCCCCTTCCCGATACTTCTATCTACTTGGAACAATTTGAAACCCTGAATGTGACATTCTGCAGGCATGTCCCCGACTTTTTGAATTAAACCACGTCTCAGTAATGGCAAATACATCTATGTTACCTGCACTAGCAACTAGTCTCAACTCGTCCATCTTATTCCTAGCACTGCGACTATTTGTGTAATATATACTTAAGGACCCTCCTTTCTCTTTATCATTCCTGCTCCTTTCTGTTATTCCACTAAACCTATTACTGTCATTGTCAATTAGTGCCACTGGCTTTCCGATATCCACCTCATTTGCCTATTACTAGTTCTCCTAGTACTCAATATTACTACCCTGAGACTTCACAGTTTTCCCGCAAAAACCCATACCACTAACTATTCCTAGTTTAAAGACCTAACAGCTCCCTCCACTGCGTTGGCCAGTGCTCCCACCCACACCTAGATAAGTGAACCCCATCCCTGGCATACATGTCATTTCTGCCATAGAAGAGGTCCCAGTTGTCAATGAATGTTACCGCATTTTCCTTACAGTATTTGTCCAGCCAGCAATTGACACCAATTGCTCTGGACAACCATTCATTCCAACTCCTCTCCTTGGCAAAATGCCACATATGACAGGTTTCCCACCCTTCCTCCTCTAATTATCTCTATTGCTGACCTAAACCTGCTAATCAGTCCTCACTCTACGTCCTGCCAACATCGTTGCCTCCAGCACTGAGACAGATAATAGGATTGCTCCCATTACCTCTCATGATGTCATCCAACGGCTAACAATATCCTTCATCCCTGCCCAGGAAAACACACTCTCTGCCTCCTACTCCTGTCCTTCAAGCAGAATGCCTATCCATGTACCTAATCTGGCTATCCCCAACAACAACAATGTTTTTACCTTCCTTGCGTCGTCCGTCGTGATGCTCCGAGTAGTCGACCACATTCGCCAGTAGCATTACACACTTGTAGAATTCGTCAAGACGTTCTCGATGGTCTTCGTTGGGTTTCTAGGGATGTCTCACTCACGTCTGCCAATGCTTCTTTGGTGCTCGTTGTGGCATTCCCAGTAGAACACTCACATTCGTCGGGTAGCACCGAGAAGGGTTGGAAGTTTCCACGGTAGTCTCTGGTTTCTCGTTGTTTTCTGGCCTCTCCAACCGTTTTCTTGATCTTCAGCTTGGTTCCATGTTGCCCGGCCACTGACCAAGCTCCCCTCTTAACCTGGGGACTCACAACAGGAGGATTACTACGAATCCTCTTGTTCTCCTCCGTTAATCGCCGTATCTCCATCTTAGCAACTCTGAGCTCTTCTCTCAGCTGCTGGTAAAGTTGCTCAAGAGAGGGCATCCTGGTTCAGATTCACAGAGAGCACACAAACAGGTCTTCACAGAGCTAAGTACACGTCACCACTGTTGGTCGCCTTTACAACACGCATGGCTTATGGAGATAAGAGGAAATAAATAAGAACAAGAACTAGTAAGAAAATAGAAAAAAAGGAGTGGTATGCATATATATGCTTGTACATGCAAATGTAGTGTAATCTAAGTGTGAATAGAAGTAGCAAGACGTACCTGGAACCTTGTATGTTTATGAGACAAAAAACACACACCAGCAATCCTACCATCACATAAAGCAATTACAGGCTTCCGTTTTACACTCACTTGGCAGGAAAGTAGTACATCCCTGGGCAGATGCTGTCTACCAGCCTACTACCTGTGTATTATTATCATTATTATTACAGGTACAACATTGATTTTCTGGACACTGATGTTCTGGAGCCAAAGAAGTCTATGAGCAGGACCTTGAAATTTCCATGGCAGAGTACTTACCACCAAACTGTACGTCACTTATCCAACCCCAAGACCAAGGAATACTGGGCTCTAAAGGTGGAAAAATCAGTAATCCGGAAAGGCTTTGGAACCGAAGGTCCGGAAAATCGATGTTGTACACGTGTTATTTCCTAGGTAGTAAGTTGGTAGACAGGGAGGTACTACGTCCTGCCAAGTGAGTGTAAAACGAAAGCCTGTAATTGTTTTACATGATGGTAGGATTGGTGGCGTCTTTCCTGTCTCATAAACATGCAAGATTTTAGGTACGTCTTGCTACTTCTACTTACACTTTGGTCACATTACACATGCATGTACAAGAACATAAGAACACAAAAATAGAAGAACATTGCAAAAGGCCTACTGTCCTTATCAAAACCACCCCTACCCAAAGCTACCCAAGAATTTACTCCCGTACCCAACGACACCAATCAAACCCAGCCCCTCCCACTCATATATTTGTCTAATCTCTTTTTAAAGCTACCCAAGGTCCCAGCCTCGATCACCCTACTCGGATGATTAGGGTGATCAAGCATATATATACACACCCCTCTGGGTTTTCTTCTATTTTCTTACTAGTTCTTGTTTATTTCCTCTTATCTCCATGGGGAAGTGGAACGAAATTCTTCCTCCGAAAGCTATGCGTGTCATAAGAGGCGATTAAAATGCCGGGAGCAAGTAGTAACCCTTTCTCCTGTATACATTGCTAAAGTTAAAAAGAGAAACTTTTGTTTTTCTTTTTGGGTCACCCTGCTTCAGTGGGATACGGCCGGTTTATTGAAAGAAGAAGAAAACTTCCTTATTTGTTCATGAGCCTTGTGTACCAATGCCTGGTTTTCCCACTCATGATTTGACAGGATGTAAATACAGTACTGTACTAAATAATATACAATGTAGGTGGAAAGGATCTGCTGGGATGTAGCTGTTGCCTCGGATTTTTGTTTTCCACAAATATGTGCAAAACAGTGATGGAGTGAGTGATGGCAAAAGTGTTTCTTCTTTTTTGAGTTATCCTGCCTTGGTGGGAGACAGCCAGTGCGGTTAAAAAACATAATAATAATAATAGTGCAGTAGTAGTAATAGATACAGTTTTCTTAAACAATTGTATATTAAATTAAGAGTTTGTAATATTTTGTTTACAACATTATATTAATGCTCAGATATGCTATAATGCTTATTCCTTATTTTTCATAAATGATTTATTAATTCTTACTCATAAACCAGCTGCAGGGATGTGCTGCTTTGAAAAATCTCTTGGTTGCTTGAGTGGCGGCCTGAAGGAAGATTTAGCACAGAAACTGGTGGAGGCAAATAATGAAATATTTAAGGTTAGACATATCTTATGCTTTCTCTTAAGGTTGTCTAATTTAATTACTGTCTTCCAAACCTTCCTTATTAGTTTATCTCATTTTCTGTACCATCTGCTATTCTTTACCACCTGCTGCTCTGTACCACCTGCTGCTCTATACCACCTGCTGCTCTGTACTACAGTACAGACCAGCTCCTCCCTGTATGCGCTGATGCTAAGCAGTGGGAGTGAATGTCTTGTCTCTGTCCCAGAGTGCTTCATTATTAATATTACCTTTCATGTTAACCCTTAAACTTTTGGTCACATAGATCTACAGTGTTGATTATGTAGGTCTTAGCACCTTCAAATTTGATGTGAGAGACCTGCAGGGTCTAGATACGAGAAAACGGGTCTGTACAGTTGGTGTGCACTGTATACAAAAATCGGGGCTGCTGCAATGAATCATGGGAACAGCATGTTAATTAACCATGTTCACCATGGTACACTGAGCTGATAATCTTAACTCCCAAGCAGATCAACCATGTATTTGACAGTGATGGTTCTTACAGTGGGGATAGTGATTCAGGTATGGAGTTCTATGGATTTGAGATTAAAGCAACCAAAAATGACACTGAAAACCTTCATGATCACCACTCTACCTCAGTGCATCCTCAAAGTGTCCATGGCATAAGCAAAAGCTAATATTCTCTCATGGTTCTGGCAGCTGTGAGTGGTAATGGTTATGACAGTGGGGATGAGTCTGACTTCATGGCTGTTGTTGATAATGCAAGTGAAGCTTCAGTTTGTATGTCAGTTCATGCTGTTTGGAAGCATGGTTAGGACTATCATAGGAGTCAACACCAGCCATTAATGATAAATGAGACAATAGCATTTAAGTATCTTTATTCTGGAAATGTTTCTCCAGAGAGTGGCTTCTTCAGTCCAACACAGAGAAAAAGAGTGGAAGATGATAAGGAGTTTGAGGTAATCAGTCCCTCAGTCTCAAATTGATGTGATTAGTCCATCAATTTTGATAAAAATACAGCTTATGTGTAGAGAAGTGGCAGACAAGCGAGGTGAAGCAGTAGTAGGTGGTGTCACCAGTAGAAAATTCTGCTAATGGTAGTAGGTCATGTGTATAGGTTTAGGCAATCTTTGGAGAAGTCTCTGTATCAAGATTCTTTAAAGGTTACCTAAACTTATAGGAGTGATTTACTTTCGCTAGTGGGTATTTATTTCCATTGGAGACCATTTACCTCTCTACAGTGTATAAGCTCACATAATCTACTTTTATCAAGATGTGATGGACTATAGACATTAACTCCAGGAAGAAGCCTGGAGTTAATGTCTATAGTCATTAACTCAAACTCCTCATCATCTTCCAGCGTTCTTCTCTGTTTTACATTAAAGAAGCCACTGGCTGGCAAAATATTTCCTGAATAACGATACCCAAATGTTGAACATGTGTCTCATTTATTAACTTTTCGGTTTTCTAAAACCACCTGAGCTGCGGCAAACTGGGAACAGTTTGCCAATGGTCCGGGCATGGAGAGACAAACAGAATTAAGGGTAACAGAACTGGGCAGATCGCGCACCCTCATCCCTTACATAGGGCGAATGAATTAGTCAGTGCTTGGGCTGTCACATCTAACTATGACAATCTTCCCAGTACCACACATGCAAAATTAATGGACAAATATGATGCAAGGGAGAGACTGGTTTGTTTTATGCTCAGCAAGGAAGATGACTAACTTTCCTTTCACTAACTTTATACCTGATGCAGCACTAAGAGCAGCTCCACACTCTACACTCAGATTGCTGTGTCGAATACTAGGTAATCATTTACATAAATTATGTAACATGAGCTATGCAACTGGGGAGCTCCCTAAACCTTGGACCAACAGCCTCATTATTCTCATTCCAAAGCCCAATCAACGAAATACATTTCACCCAATATTTCTTACTAGCTGCTTGTATAAAACATTCGAAAGGATGATTCTTAATCGTCTCATGCACAGAATTAAGCAATTTTTGCCTCCTCGGTTGCATGGTTTCATGCGTGGAAGGAGTGTGCATCATTGCATTACCACCTTTCTCCCTCTGCACACTGACAACTCATACACTACCTTCATTGACCTTAAATCTGCTTTTGATGCAGCCAACCGACATATAATCATTAGTAAACTTGCCAGAGTGGATGTTGGAGGATGGCTTCTCCGCTGGATTAAAGGTTACCTATCCAACAGAAAGTCGTCTGTGTTGTTCCGGGGGCATAGAAATGTAACTAAAGATTTTGAATTAGGAACCCCACAGGGAGGTGTGCTCAGTCCCACCCTATTCAATATTCTAATTAATGCTTTACTTAATGCTATGTTGAAGATTGAGACACTTGTACAACATATGGGAATCTTTATTTAGGAAACGTTTCGCCACACAGTGGCTTCATCAGTCCAATATAAAGCAGAAGGGTGTAAGGAGAGGAAAAGTTTGAGGTAATCAGTCCCTCAGCCTGGAGTCGATGTGTTCAGTCCATCAGTCTTGTAGAATGTACAAGATTGATGGAGTGATTACCTCAAACTACTCCTCTCCTTACACCATTCTACTTTGTATTGGACTGATGAAGCCACTGTGTGGCGAAACGTTTCCTAAATAAAGATTCCCATATGTTGCATAAGTGTCTCAATCTTCAACTTGTCCGTTTTCAAAACCATTCATCACACACTTAATGCTATACCTAGCCAGCCCCATCATTATATGATTAGTTTTGCTGATATAATGATTCACACCACCGGATTCTCCAATACCTAAAACACTCTTAATCATGTACTAGCCTCGTGTCGGGACCTGGGGTTGATAATCTCTACTGATAAAACAAAGATACTCAACAGTCCTCCTCCTCGACAGAGAGGCACAGTTCACCAGATCCAATTGCACGATGGGTCTCTTCTAGAATATGTTACGTAGATACAGGTATCTAGGCTTTGAGATCCCACTACTTGGACCTGTTGTAACGAGACTTTGTCGCCAATACAAAGAAAGGCTGAGAGCACTTAGAGTTGTGGCAGGTTTTCATCCCAGGTATGGAAATCATGTTAAAATTGTGAAAATGATGTATCTTGCTTATATTATATAATTAGTTGATTATGCTACACCACTACCCGCTCTTGTGTCTGACTGGAAGCTTGGTTGGCTGGAAAAACTGCAGAACGAAGCAATGAGGATCATCCTATGATGCCCTCGTACGGCCAAAATTGTAAATATGGGGAAACAACTTGATATTCCAAGCACCAATGATCGTGTTACTGAAAGAAATATCCTCATTGGGGTCAATATGCTTAGACTAGCCTATTCAAACCCCTGCACAGAAGCCCTCCATATTTTCCTCAGCACTGGTGAACATCCCTCCAGATGGATCGAAAAAACCTGAACCGACTTCCGACATGATCTATATCAAGTAAGGCAACAGTGGCACTTCCCCGCTCCATGGGATATAACCGGACTCCAAACTACCATTCCTCTATTTCCCCCCAAAAAATCTTAAATCACAACCAAAGCTTCGTCTTGGAGCCAAACATGATGCCTTAAGCTGTACTGATAACTTTGCCACACAGAACACTCTTTCACAAATTATTTATGTTGATGGTTCTGTTCACCAATCCACTGGTGCAGCTGGTAGTGCTGCTGTTGTCGTACAGCAGCACTACCAGCTGCACCAGTGGATTGGTGAACAGAATGGGTCTCATAAATAAATTGGAGCACGCATCAATAACTGGGCCTCTACTCTTCAAACAGAACTGTTTGCCATACTCCCTGCGCTCAAATGCGTCCATGTATCTAAGGTTGTCAGTTTAATTGTACTGATTCTCTGTCATCCATAAATGCTCTCAACTCATTAAGTATAAATTGTGGCATGCTTGTGTCAGAAGCCAGACACAGGTATGGTAAGATTGTGGACAGTGGAGTCAGAGTGCACATGCTGTGGATTCCATCTCACATTGGTCTCCAGATGCATGATAGAACTGATGAATTGGCTAAGCTGTATGCTTTCAAAGAGTGGGTAGATTACAATCTTGGGTTGTCAGAAGTTTGAGAACAATCATACGAAAAGAACGTCAGTTGAACTTTATTGACTTAAGACTTAGGAAGATTGACACCAGTCAGTCCATCTATCATCATTCCATCATGAAGGAGGAGCCACATGTCTATGGTACATCCAACAAAATAAGCAGACTCTTGGATGTCACTACCGCCCGGCTCCGGCTGGGTTACAAGTATCTTAGGTAGGTTAAATCACCGTCACCAGATGTAGACCAAACGAAATGTAAACTTTGCCAGATGCGTCATTATGTACTGGAGTGCGATAAAATTAATGAATTTAGAGACAACTCACTCAGAAATGTTCAAGAAATGGTAAAGTATTTTATCAAGTGGTATATTAAAGGCCATTCTGGAGAAATACCCTGACTTTCCTCACGGTAAAGTATTACCACGTGTGTGTGTGTGTGTGTGTGTGTTGTGTGTGTGTGTGTGTGTGTGTGTGGTGTGTGTGTGTGTGTGTGTGTGCGTCCTTGCGTGTGTGTGTATGTTTGTATGCTCGTGTGCATGTGAGTGTGTCTGCGTTTGTGCATGCGCCCTCGCGTGTGTATGCGCAAGCGCTCGTGTGTGCGCGCGCTCATGTGAGTGTGTGACCCATTTAATATTTGTACTTTTAACTCATTACAGTTGTGACCGGGTGTGGACGTGTCAGTGGCTCATTACTTTGTAATTTGTTCATGATTGTAACCTTGTATAAGAGTGAAGATGGTTCATTACCTTTGTAACTTGCCATGATTGTGACCAGATCAACCTGGAGTTAATTACCTTTGTAATGAACTCTAGGTTCATTATGTATTTATTATGCACCCCATACCCACAGGATGGGTATGGGATGCATAATAAATGTATAAAGCTAACTAAACTAAAACCATCAATACAAAACCAGCCATTAATAATAATAGTGATTATGGTGGTGCTTTAATTGGCATGGGCAGTGCACCACCT